ATAAGAGTTACACCTGAAGTATTTCCCAAGATTTTTAATAGCGGTTTGTCGTAGAGAATTTATTCTTTTTTTGTTTAAAGAGGAAAAGAAACTACATGGATTGACCGGCGCCGATTTTTGAATTAGGTCTTAGTTTTTTATCAAATTGAGGATTTTCAGAAAATCCGGAAGGAGTTTTGGAGGTTGTTGGTTGCCTGGAAAACCAATAAAGGCTTAACTGAAAAACCAGCGCCGGTCAGACCATGTAGTTAGGTGTCTGGCTTAAAACAAAATAAACTCGAACTCTCCAGCTTGAAGTATATTAAAAGATCTTGAGAAGGGCTTCAGAGTCCTTTTTGGATCTTGATCTCTAGAAAACTCCTCAACGGTAAGACTTGGCGATAAAAAATTTTTTCATTCCCATAAGTCAGTAAGCCGAACATTTATTGAAAGTTTCGTCAAGATCGGATGTACGGTGTCGGAGATAATTTGAAGCCGGAGAAAAAAACTGAAAATGAACAACCATCAGCAAATGAATTGCATTTTTGTGAAATAATTGTTCATCTATAACACAAATTGTTGAATTGCTTTACTTGTTCTCGTTTTATAATAACAAAAAAATAATCAACAAATAGCGCAACAATGGAAACGTCAATTGAGAAAAAAACAAAAACGAAAAACAAACCGAACCATAACATTTCTAGATACAACAACACGATAGTGCTTCACTAAGTTAAATAGAAAAAAAATAGGAACTTTTATGACTGCAAATTTCAAGTACAGTGAGAGAAAAACAATTATTCGGCGAACACTTCATTGGAGAGTAAAAAAAAAAATAATAACTATAGCATACACGTTATGGCAGGAAATAAGGGAAATAAGACCAAGAAGTATTCGCAAGAAAATTTTTCTTATCAGTTTCAATCGGAAAAAAAACTTGGTAAGGGAAGAACGTTGCTATGAAAAAAATGTTCAAACAATAACATGAGATGTTTGACCGAGATACAGATCTGTACTGTGTGATACTCTCCGCTAGTCAATGGACGGTCTTGTCTGATATACCAATAAAGGGATGAATGAATGGAAAAAACATGAAATAACCACATTTGACTAGCAGGTAAGTTATAAATATGTTAATAACAGAATAAATAAAAATTCATCTATAAATGCTAAAATATCATAGATCTTTTTTATCTGCTTGTTTTGTAACATATTTTGATTTAACTTCATTAATTCTTTTAATAAATTCCGATTTTTCAATAAAATCTGCTGTTTCGCCCCAATCACTTAAAATTTTTTTCAAATCTTTCACTTTAAGTTTATTCAAATCAACAGCATTCCAATCAATTTCACGTTCTAAAAATAAAGTCGATAAAATAGTCTTTATATACAATCATTGAAATTTTACAAACGATCCTCACCGTATCTCAAATCACATATCTGTGGATTACTTTTAAATAAACGTTCACGACATATTTTTTCGATAGGAATACCCCAACTAAGTCTAAAGAAAAAAGAATACATCTAAATTAGAACAACCTGTGATAAGACGACAACTAACAGAAAACTTACGGTTTGGAAACATCGGGTATCGCATACGTGGCAGACGTTTCTAAACCTCCAATGTAATAACACTTAAAAAAATCAAAAACAATTAATTATAATAATAATGATGAAATTTACGTCTCATTTACCAGCCGATGTTCTTTTGAATCAACTTTCACTTTACTACAATAAGTTTTGAATGCTTTTTCGATTTTTTCCGGTTTAGATTTTACGTCATCACTTAAAGTATCTGCAAATGCTGTAATTGCTTTGACACAAACTATAATTGAAAAAATACAATTAAATTCCAAATGCATAAATCGCACAAGAAACCGATTTACCTTCACAATGTTGTTCATCAACTTTTTTAGATAAAATTGCTGTTGCGGATAAAAACAATACTACCAATATAATTTGTATTTGCATTTTTGTATAAATGAGCGCACTTGTTCTACTAAGAAATAATGTTTAATAAGTGAAACCTTTTTCTATTGAAGCAAGGGAAATATACGTGCGATTGTGTATATTTAAGCTCTATATACAACTACACGATGACACGCACCTTCAGCGTTTACGAATCAGACCGTTGTCAAATTTTAATTCGGCCAGATATACAACGAATGAAATTTCTTTTCTCTTCCACTACAGTGAGTTTTTTTCGTTGCATCCATATACTGTAACGGTATATATAACAACAATACGACACTTCGAAGAAAACATTTTTAGTACTAGTAGTGACTAAATATTTTTTGCTATCAAAGATTGTTCTTACAATTCAAAATAGCCATTTGCTACTATAAAAATTATTCAGGCGTAATTTTTTCGACTATGTTTCCCCAAGGGTTTTTGAAAAACAAACGACCGAGCAATAGTTGATCACATTTTCTGCCTAACACTATTTTGCTTTTCAAGGGCTACACCTATACGAAAAGTGAATGTTCGCTAGAAACATCTACGATTCAAAAAGGAGTTTAATCTAGCTTCTCCCTCTGAAAGAACCAGGGACGTCTCCATAAGGGGAGGGAAGAGAGAGATCCCCCCTGCTTTTTGAAAAAATTTACTCCGAAATCAGGATTTTCTTACTCTGGAATTTACTCTCTTTTCAAAAGTAAGATATTTACTTCTATTTTCGGAGTAAGACGTAGACCTCCATTTTTAGAGTAAAGCATTTATTTTTTCTCTTTCTGTATTTGATAGAAAATAAAACTTCTGTCCTGTACATAAATAAGATAAGATAAGCAGAATAGTTTGTATTATGGCTTCAGTAAATGTATTTTTATATTATAAGGCTCTGTGTTGAAGTAAATAGAGTTAGATAGAAGAAAATTTTAGAAGAAAACTGCTTCGAATATTTATCTTTCTTTTTTTTTGTTTTACTCCAATTTTTAAAAACATAAAAGTCTACTCCAAAATTG